CATGTGGTAAATCAGCAAAACTATGGCGGTTAACTGTTAATACATTGAAATGTTCGGAGTCCAAGACATTGATTCTAAATCATTTATCTAGATTAAATCCCAAGTCTCATTGATTTATAGATGTATATTCAAGTAAGTTCATATACAATAACTGTGCAATAAATCCACCATCCTCAATCTTTCAAATCAATATTTTTTGCCAAATGGTTTGAAATTTTTGCCTATATGCGCAACAATTTGATTCGAATGGATGTATGTTAAGTTTAAAATATGGATTTTGTGCTCCAAATGAAAATGTACCCCCAGTGGTGAATGATGCTCAAGAAGAACAACAGTGAATTCAGTTTCTAACTATTCATTTCTAAAGCTGGCTTGAAAGCCTTGTCTGGGTTTTCCACATTTTGGCATCTCAATTTGTGCCTTTCAACACATTTCTAATAGTTTTTTTTCTTTCATATTAATGTCATTATATATTATTTTTAATAAGGTAATAATATCCCTGAGTGGCATACAGTGCAACATCTGCTTTAAGCAGTGATTGTCAATTACAAAGAGTGAAGGTTTCACACGAAAGAAGAAGATGGCGCTATAGTGTTTGTGGTACATCAGGTATTGATTAGCTTATAGAAATGAGACAAAATGGCTGGGTCATCACAGTCAGACATACAATTAAGTGTCAAGAAAAATCTGGAAGTCTCAGTTTTCAATGTTTCAAGTCCATATGCATTTCACCACTGCTCCCATATTGCCATGTTGGGACGATAACTGAACCCAATCTACAGTTCCACATTTGCTCCATGGTGTACATGGGCTCCTTAGCTGGATGGGCTCTCCTGTTATTTCAAAATGGAGAGAACAAATCCCTTAATGTGAAGGAATCAGTAGATGAATTTACTTTTATGTCACCAGTCTGATTTTCCCTAAAGATTTGCTGAAAAAGGCAAACATTTAATGGACCCTATACTTGATCTGGGCCCCAGGCATTCTCCAATTTTACCAATTAATTAATTTTACTAATTTAAAAAAAATCCATCCTTCCTTCCTTCCTTCCTTCCTTCCTTCCTTCCTTCCTTCCTTCCTTCCTTCCTTCCTTCCTTCCTTCCTTCCTTCCTTCCTTCCAACATATTGGCAGAGTGCAGAGAAATGGAATTAAAGGAATGATCAACTTGGGCAGCTTTTTGTGTATGCATAGCTCTCAGAATAAAATAAATTTAAGGGAAGCTTCCCAATTTCCCCCCAATATAGAATCAAGATGGAGTAAAAAGAAGGAAATCAAGAAGACTGTATTATATGAGAGTTGGAAGAGCTCAAGACCTCCCAGCCTCAAGTCCTGCAAGGTCCCTAATGCAAACAATCATCAAATATATATTGCATTTGGAAACAGCCTGGTTTAATTGAGTGTCTTCTATTACCCTGTTTTCCTAGCAATCGGTAAAGTAATCTTTCCATTAGAAGGAAATATGACTCTTGGAATTAATTCTTTATACAGAGAGCCAGCAGGAGTGACATTTATACAAAATTAAGTCCCTGTAGAAGTGTAACAAGCAGTCTACATCTGTCTGCTCAGACACTGAGAATAAAGTGGCTCAGTGCTTGTACATTATCAGAATACAATATAAAGTGTTATTGCTGTGTTGGTTCCAGAACAGAAAAATCAACTAAAGACAAGAAGGATATCATTTACTGGGACAGTGTCTCTTGTTAATCCCATTCCTTGTAGAGGAAAAGTTTTAAACAAAATAAAATAGGATGTAGCACACATTGATCCAAGAAAGATGTTTTGATACAGCTGCACCTCACACACTTCTTTTTGTAAGAATTGCAATATTGCTGCAAAACAATACTGTGGCGTGGCTAAGGTGCATCTTCTGCCTATCTCCAAAAGGCTCTGGAGCCTTACAAGAAAAAGATACAAATGTCAGAACTAAACAGTTGGAAATTTATTATGGTAGTGATATTTGTGTCTCTGTGTGTGTGTGTGTGTGTGTGTGTGTGTGTGTGTGTGTGTGTGTTAGAGAGAGAGAGAGAGAGAGATGAGAAGAAAATGCTATGTTGCTCTTCATTTCATCCTTTTGTAACAGGTACCTCTAAATTAAGAGAAGTAGCTAATTAATCCCTTCCAGCAAAAAGCTTCTGTTAGCAGAAACAAAAATTGCAATTTTTAATCTCCACTGATGTTTACTTTCAAAACCTGTAATGGATGATTTAGGGACTAACTAGCAAATTCCCAGGGATTGTATAAGAGAGAGAAGCTGTATTATATGAGTGGGAGTCTGCTTATGTACTTCCAAGTTTCAACTTCTTTAGATCTCTCATTACATTGTTCAGAGCTCAAGGAAAGGGTTGCTTCAAGACGACTGTAAGATAATGTATTTCTGGTTTGGAAAATCAGAGGTAGAGATGTTGAATACCTTTCAAAAAACACTATTTGTACCACAGCTCTGCTATATATTTCTATAGGAAAACCTGGAGTGCAGAACACTGTGGGTATAAAGCAATTTTAAAAGAATAGCATTGAACATTGTAATCTGTAAAGAACGTTAATGTCAGAAGCTCAAAAGAATGACTTTACGGGATGGCAGACATCTGAATGCAGGTGTAATGCAAAATAATGAAAGTACTCTATAGTTTTTTCAATTTCTAAGACAGTAAGACAGAGCAATAATGAAGGCCCAATTATGAAGGATGTGTCTTTGTAAGACCTTTAATAACTGTACGTGCATATCTCCGAAGAGTGAATCTGAATCACACAATCCTAAAGGACTAATTCAAAAGTATAGTTTGAGAAACTCAAAAGAAAGAGAGTGATGGTAGGGAGAAAACAATTTTATTGTGCCTGTTTATGAATTCCACTTTATAATTCGTGGGAGACTAAGAAAATTTTAATAGAAAGTATCCTGGAACTAGGTAATAAAATTTTGTAGAATAACTATTTTCCTATTAATTGAGACTCATTTGTGGGAAAAATAGATCTAAAGACAGAGCTTCAACTTTATTGCACATTAGAAACTACTCAACTAGAGCTCTGGATATGAAATGAACCAATGAAAAAAGCTGTTGATCCCAAAGCTGCAGTATAGTTATATAATGGTGATGCATATGGGAAGTCTGCACTCTCACAAAAGATCCTAGCTGATGACTGGATGGCCTTGTGACTTTTACTTCATTCTTCAAAGCTGTCTCTTACTGGACCTGCTCTGATGGCCTTGAAGGATGCCAGAGCAAACTGAATATCTAATTGTTCTTGTTTCAGGAAAGATTAATAAAATAAATTATCTGGTCCACACAAAACAAATGTACTGTGTTGGATGCTGTATGTTGTACTCTGCAATTTAAATAGTTGATTGGTAATATATTTGATAATAGTATAGTTTAATATAGACTTCAGCGCTATCACTGATGAAAAGAAAAATCTCCCATTAATTTTCTCTCTGTCCATTTGAATTATCCAGACAAGGCTTTGGCACCAATTACACAAATCTGACTTTTCATTCACTGGCTGAGTACTCATAAACATTATATACAAATTGATCAGAAATGGTACCATCTTGTCATTATATATAGATGGCAGAGCAAAATTCTACTTGCCCAACATAAACCTAACACATTATACAAAGAGAAATTTAAAAATGTAGGAGAACATCCTTAAAAACAGGGATCTTATTTTATGCTACAAGTGTGCATGTGTGTGTGTGTACATTCCTTATGCATATATGTATATAAGTGTATAGTATTTGGTACATTTCAGGGATGACTAACAGTTGACTCATAAACCAATTTTATCCTCTCTCCAATGGTATTATCAAATGTGAATTAATTCTTGATCAAAACATTTCCTGCAATTTTATTCAAAAAGGAAAAAAATGTTTTTCAAATGATGTTTAGGTTGTGTATGAGAGATTTAATATTGCATCTCTTTCTCTGGATTTTATAAATAAGGTCCTAGATTAGTGTTTCTCAACTTTGGCCATTTCCAGTTGCCAGAATTCTTATCAATGGCCATGCTGGCAGGGGAATTCTGGGAGTTGAAGTCCACATATCTAGAAATGCCCTGGATGATTCTGTTTTATTAGAATTTATAATGGAGAGGTGATTGAATGGTGCATAAAAATATTTTCCTGGTTACAAACATGGTCTAAAGGATAGATCAGGTTCAAGAGTGTGAACGTTGGCCCTCCCTGATATATACTGCTCATAGACAGACAGGACATGAAGTTTCCCCATGTGTCAGAGAATCCATATGGGACTTCAGTACTCCAGCTGTTCCCTTATCCCCCCCACCCCAGGATAATACATAAGGTAATGGGCAGTCCCCAACAACTTTTGTATACTGAGTAGGGAAAAGCGATAGGGTAAGCATGGTATACTCACTCTACTGCTTTGAAATGTGCTTTGCTCACTCTTGTGCCAAGAATTCAGGGAAAGCAGAGCCTTTTAAAATCAGTATGAAGCCCTCAATGCATTGATGCCGCACCCACAAAGGGAAAGTCCATGACTTTTTGCATACACATACACACCTGTTTCCAAGACAGCTACAAATGGCCACATGCATTTAACTAGCTAAAACATAGAAATAGGTAAGCCTAGTTTAGTGAATTTTCCTTAAATTATATTTGACTAAACAGAGTAATGTTGCAAATTACTCCTCTGCTTTCTTTTATATCTACAATAAACATCTATAAACAGTGGTCTCCCAGAACGTAGCCCCAATAAAATAAAATAAAATAAAAAATAAAGATAACACCCAGTATTCTATACTTGCGATTTTCTGGTCAGTTAAAAATTAAAACGGAAAACAAAATTAACCAAAAGAAGAGAAACCAAAGAGGCTCCAGTCAGGAGTGCATATTTACATTCTTCAAACTGTAGCGGTGAAAAATAATTCTATTAAGTGCAGGACATTCCTAGGTTTGCAGTAGTGACAAGTTTTAAAGAAAGTCTTCATGACAACAATTCTTTTGTCTGATCAGTGATGCATTCCAGGAGCTTTAACTTTCCCTTCACTTGCAACCAGTGGTAGAATCTGGATTGAACAGTTCCTTGTATAATGGAGGAAAAAGTGTGTTCACAATATCAGGATGAGATTGTTTAAATACCTGCAATTTTTCTCCATGCAGGTTGCAAAGTGCAGTAATGGTTGGTATCTTGGCTACTAACTGGAAAGCAGACAGAGAAAGATAAACCAAGAATTTTTTTTTATTCCATATCAAAGAGTGCGTAAAGGCATACTTTCAAATTCTTCCAACATCGTTATTTTTTTTTTTTACTTTTAAAAATATTGCAGTAGAATTTAATTTGGTGCTGCTTAATAAAATTGCTGACTTTTCTATGCCAACTAAAGCTAAGGCTGGGCATTAAACAGTTCATAAACAAAGTACACACTGCTTAAAGATGTTTAAATCACTCAAATAAAGTTTAGGGAACCAAAGACTAGCTAAAGTCAATTTTAGGAAAGAAAAAGTGACTTGCTAGAAAGACAAAATCAGAACTTCCGAGACAGGCATCCTTTCAATTAGGTTAATCAGTTAAGGCCTTCTTAATACACTTGAGAAGCTTAAGCAGGAAAACTAAAAAGGGAAACACCTCATTTTATAGTAAATGTCTGTTTCTCTCATGAGAAACATAGCTTTGCATGCTTCCATTCAGTAAGAGAGAATTTGCAGCAGTGACATCATCCATTCTGAGGGGAGCCAGAGGCAAGATGACTTTTGGGGAGTCCCTTGCCTGACTGGGCCAGCAATGTGCTTATTCAACTTTCAATACTTTGGTTTTCCCCCCCCACTTATATAATCTCCTCCTCTTCCTCTTTGTATATCTCACCCCCTGACACCTGTCAAGGAGGTGAGGTAAAACCTATCAGCTCATCTGACTTTAGAAGAATATACTTACACTGTAGTCAAGGCTACTTCTTCAAGTAGCTTTTCAAAGTAACATTCCCTTCAAATGTAGTTTAGTAGTAAGCCTAGCCAATCAAACGCTGCTTCTGGTACAAGGGAGCCAATTAGGGCATTGGTTACAGAAGGGCCTTGCAGAGAAGATCCTCTGCAACTCGTGGTTTGACTCCAATAGGTGCTTCTGAGCTACAGAAGAATTCCAGCAACACATTTCCAGCTATGTCATTTGCTCTTCTGCATGAACCTACTGGAGGTCCATAAATATGGTGGGAAATAGCCTGTTAGAGGTGAGGAACAGCGTTCCAGGAACAACTAGCTTCAGCCAGAATTGGGCCCCAAAACCAGTTAGGGTATTATGTCTAAATTAACCAAGCTTCCCCATGGAAGTCTATATACCTGTAGGTCTGTACTTTCTTTTGATGTCATTGACAAAGCTTTTCCAAGTAAGCCTGGGAATCATTAGATCTGAGTAATTGCTTTCTTTACTGGGGAAAACTACCATTACAAACAAATATCCTAGTATAGTTGTATTTCTAGACATTGGGTTCTCTGTATTGATGCTCTACCTTTGCCAAAGTCTCATCATCAAGATGATTCTTCTGAATCACATGTTGAAGTGCAAAATAAATCTTTTCCTGAAGTTTCTGGACCTTCCTTGGTTCTAAGAGCCAAGCTCGATCTGGCCAAAGAAGAAAGACAACAAAAAAAATTAAATAAGCATAAACATAACTCATTAGTAGGTGGAAAGGAGATTCATGGTAATTGGTTTAATTTTCAGCAACGTAATATCTCCAGTTTGTGAAGGAAGTTCACTATTATAGTTTCAAATCAAAATCTAATTACTTTGAATTCAGCAAGCAATGGCTTTCCACTTTGCTGTGAAATCCTCAATGCGCTTCTCTAACGGATCAATCTATTAATGCCATGGTTGTGCCATGCAGTGTTATCAATTCTACAGGAACATAGTTTACGATTCAGAAGATGTTCTATAAATTTAAAGGACATTGAATTTAAAGAATTTTCCAAGAAAGTGGAAGTACTTGCAAATTACCTCCAAGTAACAATCAATCTGTCCTGTTCATTCATCTCAGTTGATCTGATGTTGAGGATTTCTGAACTACAAGAAGTGATATCTGTGGGGTGCTTAGCAATGACTTTTTTTCTGGGCCTAGCTTCTGAATCTATAACTTATACCAGTGATGGCGAACCTTTTAGAGACCGAGTGCCCCAAACCCACCCCTACCCCTGCTTTGCCTCCCGCCCTGCCTGCATCACCCCTGCCCGCCCCCTGCTCCACCCGCCCACAGGGCCATGCACTGCCTCAATGGCCGGCCGTAGCAGATCACCCAGGCAGCCCTGCAGCACCATGGCAGCCACGCCCTCCTCCCACACCCCGCAGCATCATCTGCATGCTATGGAGCACGAGGGCAGAGTCTTGTACCTGCTGCCCGGCTATGTCCTTGGCTGCGCTGCTCCATGCAGACTGCGCCTGGGGGCGACTCTCCTCCAGGGGGGCTGCTGGAGAGGAGGGGGCCACAGGGGAGGCGGGGCTGGGGGGATGGCACGCGTGCCCACAGAGAGGGCTCCGAGTGGCGCCTCTGGCACGCATGCCATAAGTTTGCCACCACTGGCAAACTTAACAAAACACAAAACGGATTCCATCAATTGACAGTGGTGGAATGTAAAAAAAAGGAAAACCAGTTGCAGAAAACTACCTGGTGATATCAGAACAGCAGATGAAAACAAGGCAATTTCTTCCTCGGTCAGCTGCAATGTACACAAATTCTTTGCGAAGTCAAATGCTTCATTCACAAGGTCGTCAGAACCTACAGGCAACACAGATAACCAAGTCAAATTCTTGAAATATATTTTGAGCGAGAAACTTTGTAAATGCAGTGATCTTTTCAACTGGAAAAGCTGAGAACTTCTGAGTTCCTTCTGTGTCTGAAGCAGTGCAAGAAAATAAAAGCCATTTTTCCACCCAGCAGCTGAGTTTTTGATATTCTGTAAAGATCTACTTTCACATGAATTATGAGCATTAGAAATATGTTCCTCTAGAATAGCATAGAATAACAGAGTTGGAAGGGACCTTGGAGGTCTTCCAGTCCAACCCCCTGTTTAGGCAGTGGCTATAGGATTTATACAGCTCAACTATTAAGCACTGTTGTCAAGTTATTACCTCCTACATGAAGTTTCTGGGCATGGGTTTGAAAATAGCGAGAATGAATCTCACACTCACATGCTTCAATTAGTTAAGATTGTATACTTTATGGTTGAAGAGATCTAGTTTTCCATTCAGCTCTATCAACAGCCCAATCATTCTCAGTCCTGGGTCCACTCAAGGGAGTCACATGATCCATGACAATAATACTGGTGGGCTTTCCTGTCATTTGCCCATCAATTCTGCATGCTGCTGTCTTAAATACCCACCTCAACTTTAGAGATGGAATACGTGAAAGAGGAACTAGTGAACAGTTATTGGGTTTGTAATGAGCAGCCAGTCATTCACCTATCTAAATCAGAGGTCCCCAACCTTTTGGGCATCAGGGACCGGTTACGTGGCGAGAGGTTTTTCCACAGACCAGAGAGGGCATGGTTTTGTGTGCTGCCTGCATCCCGTGGATGGGGCTTTGCTTGTTTGTGCAGCCCGGTTGCTGGCAGGCCGTGGCCCATTACCAGTCCATGGACCAGGGGTTGGGGACCCCTGATCTAAACCACTTAGGATTATAAAGACAAATTGGGACCTGTCACTTAATTTCTTATTATAAATCTAATGTGCTCATTCACTTCATATAATCTATGTAGAAGTAATTTCCCCTTTCAGGTTAGAGGGATAGAATCAAGATCACGTGAAGTATTAATACCACTTTACAATGCCTTAGTAAGGCCACACTTGGAATACTGCATCCAGTTTTGGTCGCCGCGATGTAAAAAAGATGTTGAGACTCTAGAAAGAGTACAGAGAAGAGCAACAAAGATGATCAGGGGACTGGAGGCCAAAGCATATAAGGAAAGGCTGCTGGAAGTGGGTATGTCTAGTTTAATGAAGAGAAGGACGAGGGGGGACATGATAGCAGTATTCCAATATCTCGGGGGCTGCCACAAAGAAGAGGGAGTCAATCTATTTTCCAAGGCACCTGAGGGCAGGACAAGAAGCAAAGGATGGAAACTAATCAAGGAGAGAAGCAACCTAGAACTAAGGAGAAACTTCCTGACAGAACAATTAACCAGTGGAACAACCTACCTCCAGAAGTGGTGAATGCTCCAACACTGGAGGTTTTTAAGAAGAGACTGGGCAGCCATTTGTCTGAAATGGTATAGGGTTTCCTGCCTGAGCAGGGGGTTGGACTAGATGACCTCCAAGGTACCTTCCAACTATTATTATTATTATTATTATTATTATTATTATTATTATTATTATTATTATTATTATTATTATTATTATTATTATTATTATTATTATTATTATTATTATTATAAAAGCAAACAAAAAACCTGAAGTTACTTTTTAAAACTTTCTGAACACACTAGAATTTGTGATCTCACAAAATAACCTCTGCCCTTTCATACTTGTATCCTGAGGTCAGACATAAAAGCTGCCTCAGGATGTTATGACCAACCTGCCCTCCTCTTTCCTGCTATGAATGCCTAGGATCTCTCACTCTAAATCTTTGGATTCCTCCATCAGTATGTATTGTATGTGTACTACCTTATACCTTAATCTTATTCTGATCCAAAATCCAAACTTGTACTTTTTTGCAAATCTAGTAGAAGTTTTCAGCCTGTATTTTTTTTTTTAATAATTTGGTAGCAACTCATAAATCTACGGGAGAAATGAATTTCAATTCTGCTTACCCAGGTGACATGGCAAAAGCATGTAAAATAATTACTGAATAAACAGAGATTCAAAAACAAGAAAGTTGGTTTGTTGCTACTATATGGGACATAAGCAGAATATCCTGATAAGAACTGGATTTTAATTCTCTTTCAAGGAAATAGATCTAGCAGATTCTTGGTCCCCTAAATACTGCAGATGGTGATGAACTGAAATATATCTTTTTATCCCAATTGCTTACAAAGCCTTCAGTTTGAATAAACAAAACAGCCTGCCTACCCAAAGCCTTGAACATTTGCATTCCTCCATATTTTCCTTCAAACAAGACGGTGTTGTTGAGTGGATTGAAGGCACGACACATTCTCACTAGAACAACTTCCAAGCAGCCTGAAATGATAACAAAAGTCCTGAGATATTACATAGAAATATCCCAACAAGATGGTATAGCCAGTTCTGTTGGCTATAAAAGTACAATCTCTGGTATTTGATGAATGTTGTAAGAAAAGATATATTAAAACTTTATTCTAGAAGATCATTAATTTTTTTAAACTTTGTACCACTATGATGATGATAGATAGATAGATAGATAGATAGATAGATAGATAGATAGATAGATAGATAGATAGATTTATTTATTTGCTTGTTTGTTTGTTTGTTTGTTTGTTTATTGAAAAAATTTATATACTGCCCATCTCACTGTCAATTGACTGGGGGGCAGCTTACAACATCATGCTTTCAATCACTTTTATGTGCAGTTAAACCTATAACATTGGTGTTTCCACATGATAGACACTATGCAATTTTCTATTCTGCATTCTGGAATAGAAAAAAAAATACTGTTAAGAATTTGTAATTTTTACAAAGCGTAACAGGTCCTGTATCTTTATCTTCTTTTATTGATCAAATTTTATTGATGCTGATTCAGTATTGTACTTAAGTATTAAGTATTATTATAATCTCCTCCACAAACCTGATTTGAGAAGTAGAATCTGATCATTTTGACAGAGTTCCATGAAGCCCGCTATCCGTTTTGCAAATTCCACCACATACTGAATTGCGTGTGTGATCTGGATTGCGCACTGCTGCCATAATGCTTCTCTTGACTTCAAGAAGAAATCACATGAAAAAGAAGGAAACCAGACAGAGAATGTTCTTTAGGTCACAGATGAGCAGAGATTATGCTGTTGAAAATTGGTAGCAGATTGCCAAACATCTAATGTTTAATGTATCTGGCTAAGGTTTTTTTCCCCCTAAAACTCAGTTCCCCTCCTCCTCTGCCTCATGAATCTGTTTACCCATTTGCATAATGTCATTGTCCCATTCATTGCGGCTCTTATTCGTTTTAAAAATATTCTCATTCCCCATAAAAGCTGTCCACTCTTGAATTAGATTATGATCATCATGAAATGATTTGCCCTTCTGGATGTTAAATAAATCCCTGGTTTTCTTTAATTAAGGTTTCTGCTTCACTGTCATTATGCTTATATTCCTAGCACTTTGATTCCAATCACCAACTTCTCTAGGAGGGTAGACCCGTAACAAAAAAAAGACCGGTATTAGGAATACCCCTCTTTATTTAAACCCAGGAATGGTTTTTGAACAAGTCAGGATAGTACATTAGTTCTGCCAAGTTCTTAACACAATCAAATTATATGACTCCACTTTTGATATTTCTCTAATGAGGAAATTACAAGTGGAAATCACAAAAGAACAGAGAATTAGAAGATCAGTTGGGCATGTTTCATTCATTGTTCTAAGTGCACATTCATCTGGAAACTTGCACGATTAAATACATGGCAACTAAACATACAAACTGTACTAACACAAATAAATGACAGTGCTTTCAACAACTCATAGAATGACTTAGGTTATAACCATGTGACAGGTTGTTAGGTTTGTTGGAAAACCTTTTTCTCCGCATTTGCTTATAGCAGGCATATTTTCAGAGAAGGGAAAGAGGTAACTCTATTATAAGAAAGAACTGTAGTAGTTGGGGTTTTAATCTTCTCCCTTATAATAAAAGGTGAGTAAGAAAGGGATGATAACTGTAGCTACAATATGCATTGTGTAAAGAAAATAATGTCAGCACCTCAGATCATCCAGTAAATTAAATTCAGGAAATATAAGAGAAAAGATTTTTTCCCCCACAGAGCATAAGTAAAAGGCAGGAACACAACTGAGGGTAGGTACTCAAAGTGATAGACACAACAGGTTAGCACAAAAATTAGATGGAGATTGGGACGATTGCTTCATCTTTTAAAACATCCTTATTTAATTTTGCAATTGCTGTAGTTACAATCATGAATTTAGAGAGGCAATGCAGAGAATAGTTCTGCGTGGAAGAAAGAAACAAGACATTTTATTGAAATGTTTTTCTACCTTGCTCTGGTATATTTTGATTTCTTCATACGTGTGGGT